CACTGGTCTCACCCCTTCAGCAGCAAGGGAGAATGAAGAAAACAACATACAAGGGAAAGATTAGTCCAAAGGACTAAAGGACCACAACTACCACTGCCTCCACCAGACTGAGTCCAGTACAACTAGATGGTGCCCGGCTACTACCACTGACTGCTCTGACTGGGATCACAACAGAGGGTCCTGGACAGAGCTAGAGAAAAACATAGAACAAAATTCTAACTCACAAAAAAAGACCAGACTTACTGGCGTAACAGGGACTGGAGAAACCGTGAGAGTATGAAGCCTGGACAGCCTTTTAGCTCAGTAATGAAGTCACTCCCAAGGTTCACCATTCAGCCAAAGATTAGACAGCCCCATAAAACAAAACAAGATGAATAAGGCACAACAGTCCAGGGACAAGGACTAGCAGGCAGGAGGGACAGGAAAGCTGGTAATAGGGAACACAAGGTTGAGAAGGGACAGTGCTGACATGTCGTGGGGTTGTTAACCATTGTCATAAAACAATACGTGTACTAACTGTTTAATGAGAAACTATTTGTTCTGTAAACCATCTAAAGTACAATTAAAAAAAAAGAAAAATAATTTTATCAGTAAAAACAAAAAATACTTATTTTACTTATCTATTTGAAAGAAAACTTGATTTGTAATCTAAAAATGAGAGAACTAACTTTCCATGATATCTTACTGAGCTCTGCATTTCTTCATTTCTTCTTCTGTTTAAAAAAAAAAAGACATCCTTTAAACTGCATCAGCATGCCTTGAACCAGCAATTCCTTATTTAGTGGTCACTGGCTGCTGATGCTATGGAATTATGGAAGTGAGAGATTGAGGTGGCAGAGGAAGGAATATAGAGTTACTCGAAATATCTGAGGGCAAATGACAAGAATGTGAAAACAACTGACAGAGGAATTTAGAAAAGTCAATTTAAAACAATATAATTATAAAGAAAGTGGCTGTGGGAATGAAACAGGTAATACCTATTAAATAAACAAATCTAGCAGCCTTAATATTAATGAGTGGTGGCAAGTATCCTCAAATTTAATCAAATAAAGATTCTTGGTATAAAATATTTTCTACTATTTATATTTGTGGATTTTCCTTGCCTAATTTCCAAAGAGCAAGTAAAGATAGCCCTTCCTGTATATAAAGGTTTTCAAAAGCTAATGAAGAAATACAATTCTGGAAGGTTTAATAAGAGTTCTTTTAAGCCATCAATGTATACGTGTTTCAGTGATAAAGAGCAGATAACAGATTTTCACAAAGCAATCCACACTAAAGGTTAGTTTTAAAAAACAAAATTCAAATCAACAAAAAATTTTTACCAACAGGAGAAAGGGAACATTTTCTCATGGATGGAGAAATGGTTAAAAACAATAGGTCATGGTTACCTCTGCCCATGCTTTAAGTACAGCCAGCTTTTCCATGGTTGTGGCACTCTCTCGGTACAGCTGGCTGGAGGACCCTCTTCCAGCTTGAACTTTGTCGAGAGAAGACACCAGCAGATTGTGTACTCGACGGAGGTCATTGAGATCACTCACAACTCCACTTCCAATCCATGTACTACATACCTAGCCAAAAATAAATTGTATACACACAAAAATAACACTGTCTATTCGAGAATGGAGTAGAGATTATTGTCTTTCTTGGGGGAAGAAAAACAAAACAAAACAAATGAATGAAACAAAACAAAAAATCCCAGTACTATGATCTTTTTTTTTTTTTTAAATAACAAATTAACAGCACTCTACAAATGAAGTGTAAGGATTTTTATTGCATTCCTATGTGGAAAAAGAAAATATATACTTATGTTTCCATTGTCTAATTTAACAAAAATTTTAACAGAAAAATTTCTTCCCCAAATCAGTTCAGTTGTGAATAATTCTTAAATTCAACAAAATTTCTGAATATTTACTACAGGCAAAGGGTTATGCTAAGTGTTATGGAAGACTTCCCAAAGGTCATAGCCTTGAAAACCCTATGGAGCAATTCTACTCTGCACACAGGGTTGCCATGAGTCAGAATCAACTAGGTGGCAACTAATAACAACAGCATGGAAGGAAAAAAGAAGCACAGGGATAAAACCTAGCCCCTGCCCTCAAGCAAGAAAACAGATATTGAGCGAACACACGGAAAAGTTTTATGACTGATACTATACCTAAAAAACGTCCATGGAAAGACAAAGAAAGGAAAGATTAATTCCAGCAAGAGAAATGGGAAAGTTTAGGTACTAGGTGTTTGTGTGTATAGACATGGAGGAGTTATATGCAGAACAAATGAGATTTGAAAGTTAGAATTAAATTATGGTAGAACTTAAATTTCATGTGAACTGAATTCATACTTCATTCTGTAGGCAAACAAGAGTTTCCAAGGCTCTGAACAGGGGATTGATATTATAAGAATTGTGCTTTAAAAGGATTGCTCAAGTACTTATAGAGAGAAAGGAATGTATATGGACAATAAGCAATGTGTTCAGTTAAGTGACTATTACAGTACTATGGAACAGGGACGATACGGATCAAATTGGGAACAGAATGAAAAAAGAGAGGCATCTGAGAGAGGTGTGGAGTTAGAAATCACAGGACTTGAAAGCCAATTAGATATTTCGAGGGGGCAGGGGCAGGGAGCTACAAAAAGAGCAAGAAATCAAAGTTTGCCCTAATTTTGATTGCCAAACCTTCTAAGTTAGATGAATGGAACAACAGTCACACCATTGCTTAAGAAAGGAAAACCAAAAGGAAATGAGAAGGTAAACGGCATGATTTTGATTCTGAATATTTTGCCATGTTGAGTTCAAAGTGCCAGTAAGACATTCATGGTGAGATACTAAGCAGGCAGGTGGAAATTTGGGTCTGGAATTCAGAAGCAAGGTCAAGGGTAACTAGGTAGACCTGGGAATCGTCCACACAAAGGCAATGACTAAAGCAATGCTGCTAGGTTCAAAGATAGAGGAAAAAAAAGCCTTAAAGACTGAACATGGGGGAAATGGTTATACTTAAGGGACAAGTGGAGTAAGAATAAACAATGAAAGAAACTGAAAAGGAAAAGTCAGAAAAGCAAATGGAAAATTAGGCAAGTGTGGTGATGTTAGAGCCAAAGAAAGATCGTCAAGAAGGAAGGAGTGGTCTGATATTGCCAACTTTAACCAATAATAATCCTTGCTTTCTTATCTGAAATTGTTGGGCCGAGAAGGGTTTTAACAATTCACAATTTTTTGGTAAAAGGTACATAAATCTCATTAAGGAATATGCCAAGCAAGATGTGTGGCAACACCTCATAATTAATGCATGAATATTTCTATAATGAAATGTATTAAGAATAACACTAAGAGACATTAATCAATACTACAGTCTCAACTTCAGGTCAGGGCCAAATGAGACCAAGTTAGCTCAGGTTTTGTGGCCAAGTGAATTATGAAAAAACTTCATTTTCAGAGCATTTAGATTTCAAAATCGTGGTTAATGCACTCATGTTCCCGTATTTAAAACTTTTTTTAAAAGTTGAGAACATTTATGCAAACTATTTTACTCTCAAAGAATTCAACTTTATAAAGCATAGTTAATAAAAATTATTAAGGACATCTCTTAACCAATTATTATCAATTAAAAACATACTGATGGCAAAGTAGGACACCAGCCAAAACAAGGCTGAAAATATAATAAAATTTAAAGTGAAAAGAGATTAAATTCAAGTCTGAAAAGAAAGAGGTGTTATTCCTAAGGAAACTAAATATACTGGAGAGATTTGATAAATATTTCTGTAAAATTTGGTAGAAATATAACAGTAAAAGTTGGGGAAAACTGTAAAGATTCAGAAGTTGGCACTAAGTTTGTGTTGCAAAAACCTAAATACTTTCTCCACTTCAAAGAAATTGAAACCGGAAATTGCAGATAATGCATTATGGGTTTGGTTTATGAAGACAAAGCAGCACTGTATCAGCAAAATCATATTCAGAAAAAGACCATGGCCCTACATCAACAGATTGGTGAATGAATACATATTTATAAATTTTAAGCTGAAATAAAATATTCAAGGCACACATTATGTTTATGATTCTGACCCTGATTTAAATTATTTTTTTATGAACCATTGATTAGTTTCCAACTGTGTTACATTTGAGGATCTCTACCATAATATCTAAGAATTACCCTGATTTTAAGGTTTCTTCTAGTAAATTCTAGTTTATTCTACCAAACGTGTTGGGATGTCATGTTTCATTATCTGCCCAAAGTCAACTCCTTACTTTCCCATAAGGCATGAAACTTGCAACCAGTTTCCTTCTAGGAAGAGAAGGAAAGGAAACCACAAATTTAAGCTTGCCACTGGAAAAGAAGAACCTTCTTACAGAAAAAGAAGCTGAAGCCAAAAAGGAAATAAGTTTAAGGCAAATTCAATAACAGGAAAATCTTCATACTACTCACTCATAAGAATAAAAATTCTGATAGACTTTAGTTTTCTAATGATCAGGAGCTTTATAGAAGATTTTGTCTGTTTAAACACTGTTCTGAAACATTATCATGATATATTTATTTACACATGGCCGTCATGGGGCCCTGGTGGTGCAGTGGTTAAACGTCAGGCTGCTAACCAAAAGGTTGGCAGTTGGAGTCCACCAGCCACTCCTTGGAAATCCTATAAGACAGTTCTACTCTGTCCAATAGGGTAGCTATGAGTTGGAATTGACTCAAGGGCAATGGTTATTTTTCTATGCTTTGATGATTTTTAAAGTTTGTGTGTCAACATCCCAAAACAAATTACATATTCTAAACCTACAGTTTGTGCTTCAAGTACCATGATCCATGACCTGTCTCTTAAACAAGGCTCCCTCTTCTCTCTCTGGTCTGCTGTTGGTGGAAGGAATTCATTTCTCTATAAGGTCACAATTAAGGCAGCAGCCTTCAGTGAAATAAATCTTAACAACAGAAGGAAGAAGCAAATCCATTCAGCCACAGTGGGGAGAAAGTCACAACTTCAAGCCCATCTCTGCCTGTAGGTCACATGAGGCTTGATCATGGATTCTAAGCAAAAACGATGGATCACAGTCCTGTACTCCAGAAAACTGGGAAGGAGAAGAGTTGATTCTCTTCTATCCTTAAATAAGCAGAACGTGGTTTTCTGACATATTATAGAGTTTAGTGTACGAATTCTTTTTCAGGATGAGGCACATGAAAAAGAGAAACCTATTAAAGGTATCAGAACATAAGTGTTTTTGATGGTTTATGACTCTACAGATACAATAAAGTGAGGACAATCCTGTGGGATTCATTTTGCAAAGGAATTTCCATATTGTGAAATTCTCTTTGGGATAACTTAACACCTACAAACTACTAGAATTTTCACAACCTGTGGTCAAAACAAACAAACAAACAAAAAACACTTTTATTACTTAATTATAATTATTAAAGTCTTTAATTATTATAGATTTTGCAACCTTATTTTTATTTTAGCTTCTTTTATGATTTTCCTATGTCTGTTCACTTCTGGATAAGACAAGAATTATGTACTCCAAAGTCATGTCCTTAGCTATGACAAAAAAAGGAATCTGATTAACAGTTACTACTTCATCATATGATACATAAGAAAAAAGGAAACTGCCATTGTTGTATTTCCAAGATAAAAATAAATATTATTTGCTTTTTCTTCTTGTCTTTCTTGGAAGTGAAAATTTAAGATATTGATGTCAACATTAACTATTTTTCTTCTTACCTGGCAAGCTTTTGCTATTATGTCTGATGGAGTATCTTGTGAAAAAGCTGGTCTTAGAGCAGCTCCCACCTAGAAAATGAATAAGACGATTTTATTTTTAAAGACAAATAATATTCATAAAGCTTTTTGTGTCTGGAGATGAAAACACATCCCTTTTCCTTTCCTTTTTATCACCTCTCCCTTATCTCTCTTTTCAGTTACAATAAAGTTAACCATACCATTTTTCTTTTGTTTTCCAGGAGGTTATCAGTATCAAATCTATATGAATGCTATACCAAACAGACAAACTTGTGTCTTCTCCTTTGTTTCTGTTTAATAGTAAAGAAGATTTTTCTGACAAAACCACGTTACCAGAGATAACACAAAACTGCTATTCTATCCCTTACTCTTTTTTTCTAAATATATTTATAATAGCATTTACCTCATGAATATCACATACAATTGGATCAATTCCTTGAAGTAACTCAGTAGTAGTAAAACTTCAGTCACTAAAAAACAGTAGAGATCATTTTTATCTCAAAAAGTGATGACTTACGAGAAGGTTGCTCAGGAAATAAAAATGTATGTACTGCTGTAAAGGAATATGAGCTTTCAGATTGAAATAAGCCAACATCAGTCATGGATTCTTAGTTGTATTAGTAGATTCAGTATCTATGAGTTGAATAAAGGAATCACTTGTTGCCATTGAGTTGATTCTGACTCATAGCGACCCTTACAGATCAGGGTAGAACTGCCCCATACAGTTTCCAAGCCTGTAAATCTTTATAGAAGCAGACTGTCACATCTTTCTCCCATGGAGCAGCTGGTGGGTTCGAACTGCCGGCCTTTCGGTTAGCAGCTGAATGCTTAACCACTGCACCACCAGGGCTCTCTAACAAAGGAATTAGATGTAGTCAAGTCCTAAATTGAGATTTCTTCCCTTACACTAGTGATCTGGTCAAGTAAGGCAGACCAACAGCAGTGGGGAAATAGATCAAGAGTCCCTCTCTCTGGCTAAAAATGCATGGCAACTAACCATAACACAGGAGTCTGTACTGGATCCTGTACTGAAGGAGAAAGAATACCATAAAAAAAATTATTGGTTTGACTAACAAAACTGGAATATGGCAGATTATATAAAAGTAATGTATCAATGTTGAATTTCCTGAAGTTGATAACTGTCCTGTGGTTACGTAAGAGAATGTTCTCATCATTTGGAAATACAGCCTAATGTGTTTTAGGGTAAAGGTACATGTTAAAGTTAATTTACTTTTAAATAGTTTAGGAAAAACAAAAGCGTGTGTGTGTGTGTAGAGAGAGAAACTCAATGATAAAACACATGGAGCATAATCAACAATTGGTGAATCTAGGTAAAGGGTATAATAGCTTTTTGTACTATTCTTGCCACTTTTCTGTAAGTTTGAAATTATTTCTAAATTAAAAGTAAAAAAAACAAAAAGTCCATTACTCTGACAGGTTGGGTATTCGGGAACAAAAAATTGTATACAGGTTTTTCTATTGCCATTTGGGCTAGAAGCTGTAACTTCCTCACCTGTACTTATGATAGAAACACAATATATTATGCATTATCCACATCTCTTGTGTCTGGAGCCAAGATTTTGGCATAAGCACGGTAAAAAAAAAAAAAAAAAGTTTCATGATTCTTCCCTGCGAATATAATTTTTTTGCCTTTACATAATCTTCCATTTCTAGGATTAGATTTATTGCTTCATTTGAATAACATAAATAAAGCTATAAATCCCAGGAGAAACAAGTATATTTAAGTTTAGAATGAAATAAAAAATCTTTTGAAAGTATCTAGTTCTATCAGTAAAAATTTTAACTGCTATTATTAAAAGTTAATTTATCTTTCAGTATGCTGGGGCAACTGTTTTATTTTTAAAAATGTTCATCAAGTCTTGACATATAAAAACAGTAACAGCAAATCCACAACACTCTTTTGAATGCTCCTTTTATCTTTTCAGCGGCATGGATAACTAGCTAAATACAAGACTGGGAAGCTAGGTTGGAATTTCTATTCTAGTTTTATCAGTAATATACTGTCACAACTTAAAAATAGTGACAAGAGTTTTACACTACTGTCTCTTCAACTGTGGGTTGACTGAAACTGTAACAATGTGTCTAAAGACATGTGTCCTACATGAATAAGTAGACTGAAGTTCTAAATACATTCTTCAAAGGAGTCTTCACTCCTTTAATGGTCACTCAAAAGATCAACTTTAAGTTTCCAAATAAATAGAGTATCTCACATTAGCTTGATATTGCTCCAGAATCACATGACCTGGAAATTCTGGCTCAGGCACAGAGGCAAACTTCTTGATAATGTCTTCAAGTGCTTGGAGACCAGCCATCCGCAGCTGGTTGCTATGATCAGTTGCAGCCATGAATGCCATGCGAATCAGGTCAGAGAGATGAAGTACTAATAGGTCATCTAAAAATAAAAATAGAAGGCAACAAGAAAAGTTTTCCAAAAATAAGTGTAATAACATAAAAATGTGAAACTCTAAATAAATTTCTAAGAAAAGCATTTATGATCCATATGATTTATTGTGTTTAAAAATAACAAAGATATACTTTCAAGAAAACTTTCGCATCAATCTTTTAAGAACACTGGCAAATCTTTGCACCATATGGCAACACAGATGAAGTTACAGGATGCACAGTGACATCTGAAGTAAAATAATTAACTTCCCCCAAACTATTCTGTAATTCTTTTAGAACAGGGGCTGGCAAATTTTTTCTGCAAAGGATTAGATAGTAAATATTTTTGGCATTGCAGGCCATATGGTTTCTGTCACAACTACTCAACTCTGCTGTTATAGTATGAAAGCAGCCACAGACAATTCATACACAAATCGGTGTGCTTATTTTCCAATAAAACTTTATATGGAAAGGGGAAATTTTCTTTTCTTTTCTTTTCTTTTTTTTTTTTTTTAGTAAAGGCTGTACTGGATCTGTCCTAACAAGCTTAAAAGCAAGTCTTAAAACAATTTAAAGTAATTTAATTACATCCCAGAACAAATTCAATGCTTCTTAAAGGAATACAACAAAATCCAGCACAAACATCCTAACATTTGCAATGTCTAACACCTAATAAAAAATTACAGGCATGCAAAGAATTAGAAAAATATGTCTTGTAAAGAGGAGAAAAAAATCAATGAACAGAAGAAGGACCAGAAATGAAAGATATAATAGAATTAGCAGAAAGGGACCTTAAAACAACTATTATAAAAGTATTCTCTATTTTCAAGAAGCAAAAGCATGAACACAATGAAGAGATAAATGAAAGAAAAAATACAAATGGGACTACTAAAGATAAAAAATAAAATATATGAAATAAAAATACACTGGATAAGATTAATAGCAATTAGATACTGAAGAAGAAAAGATCAGTGAACTTAAAGAAACGGCAACAGAAATTATCTAAAGCATTTATCAAGCTCAGGGAATCTAAGTTCTTCAGAAGGCTGTAAGACTCTCGAAGTCTTTTTGAAGTAGGGACAGTTCTACAGCTCAGAAACAAACAGCTGATCCCCAAGCAGCTACATTTACACAGGCTTTTTTGTTGTTGTCATCAAGATTACAATTTTCCAATTTTTCACAGGCTTGCCTGAAATACTGCTTTTAGAATCTTAAGTTTAAAAGGAGTTATCTTTTGGTTTGGGGGGGGGCAAGAAGAGGGAAAACATCTGGCTAGAAGTCCTCAATGCTTCCTCACATAACTGAGGAAAGAAAAAACCTACCACCAATAAAACTAGGTTTAATAAACTACTGCCAGAATTGCAGAGGAAATTTTCAAGGCAGAAGGAACTGAATTAAAATGGGCCTATTCATATTATGCTAATCCATAGTATATAAAATATATGTAAAATATTCTCCATAATAAATATATTCATTAGTCCTCTTGTACTCTATCACCTAATCCATAAAGTCTAAGACAATATTAAGCTACCAAACCTAAAACTAGGCAATTGTCTCTGGAATGAGAATGCTGCTTTCTTCAACAATCAGAGTGTTGTCACTTCTTTACATAATCTCTACCTCCAACCTTCCTCAAATCAAGACCTTTCTCTGTTTTCTAAATCCAAAGAGAAGAACTCCTGAAGAGATGAGAGTGGAAAAGGGCAAAAATAAAGGATTAACATAACCACAAAAGGCCAACTTGTCTGTCAGAATCTGGAAAGCTTAAAACAATAGGAAACTGTATCAAAGAAGCGGGGCAATGCTCGAACCAATTCAATGGACAGTGGATGTGCATACCACAACCAAGTAACAATTCACCCCAGAAAGAGAGTTAAAGATGTACCCAATATCATACATAGCCCACATAACAAATAAAAAACAACCATCATATGACAGACCGGGGACCCCTGAGCCAAGAGACCAACTGTTAGAAAAGAAAAACAAGATCACTCAATCATGATCTTAGTTCTTCGTCTTTACTTTAACCAATAATAGTCTGTAAGTAATTTACTCATAATGAATCAGCACCTGTCAACATTGTATAAAAAACACTTATAGATTGTACTTCTTTGGATTCTGGTCTGCTTATAGACTGAGTGCTTGCAGCCAATCTCCCATATTGTTTTCTGATATGTCACAATAAAAATCTCTTTATTGCAGAAGGCTTTAGTGAAAGTGGTTTCTCTACAAAGCAGAAAGCCCAAAATGGGGAGACGATTTGGGAGCTGACAGAGGTTTATTACTTAAACCCTGCAGAAATGACATGGCCTAGCAGGGAGCTCAATGACCTGAGCCCCTGACCTGAGCCCCGGATGCCTGGGTTCGAGCCCATGCTCTGCTACTAACTGGCTCTGCTGAGCTTGGGTAGCTCCGTGCTTTAGGCCACTACGCTTGGTTTCAAAAATCTTTGGAGACCAGGTGGCACAGTGGTTAAGAGTTCAGCTGCTAACCAAAAAGTCAGCAGTTCGAATCTACCAGCTGCTCCTTGGAAACCCTATGGGGCAGTTCTACTCTGTCCTATAGGGTCGTTATGAGTCGGAATCAACTTGACAGCAACGGGTTTGGTCTTTTTTTAATTTTAGAGGTTTATTATATTCTGGGAGTAGTAGTTCCCTACGACTAAAGTACAGTAGATACGGAGATGACGATAATGCAAGAAGAGTGTGGGTCTATTGTTTTTCACATACCCTGCCATGACTGTTAAGAATCAGAATGGCAGGCAAAACAAAGCATACCAGGTGGGGAACTGTTATATCAGCTTACCATGCAGCTGATATCCTAGTAGACAGATTCTAGTAAAAGACAGAGAGTATGAGTAATCCACCCCGCCCCCCAACACATACACCACCCACATTGTGAGCAAATTTCAATTACGGAGAGCACTCTGTTCTTTTGAGGATATATAAACAAATAAGCTTATGAAGAAATACAAAGGTAAAGATCCTGAAGATTCAGACAAGAGCTAACCTCTGAAAATAATTTTCTATATAAACTAGAATAAAAATTTAGAAAATCATTTGGTATCCTCAAGAAAATGTAAAAAGTCATAGCTGCTATGGAATAAGCAGAGATAACCATAAAGAATGAGAAGGATATAATGGAGGTGAGAGAAATACAGAAAATTACAAGAACACTAAAAACACAAAAGCAGACTTAAGATCCACAAGGAGGCAGAAAAGAGTAAACAATTACCAATTATATACAGAAAAAACTTGTGAGGATCTGTCAGAATGCAGGTGAAAGGACAAGATACACACACAACCAAAATAAAAACAGTTAAACAGAAAGGAAGGAAGCCAACTGAAGACTTTTCACTATTCCTTAAATATGGTATGCACATTTATCCTTCCATTCCTTTATAAATTCTCTTATTCCCTCTGTTTATAATAAACCAGTATGGTAGACAGAATAAGGGCCCCTAAAGATATTCATGTCCTAATCCCTGAAACCTGTGAATGTGTTACTTTACATGGTAAAAGGGACTTTACAGATGTGATTAAGGCTTTGCACCCTGAGATGAAGAGATTATCAAATACTATCCGAGTGTGCCCAATCTAATCACTTGAGTCCTTAAAAGCAGAGAACCTTTGCTGACTGAAGTCAGAGAGAGAAGAGAGAGAAATGCAACAACTGAAGAAGGATCACAGAAAATCAACGATGCTAGCCTGAAGACAGAGGAAGGGGGCCAGAAGCCAACAAACACATTAGGCAGACTCTAGAAGCTGGGAAAGACAAGGAAATGGATTGCCCCCTACAGCATCCAGAAAGGAATGCAGCCCTGCCAACATCTTGATTTTAGCCCAGTGAGACACATGTTGGAATTCTGACCTACAGAACTATAAAATAATAAATTTGCATTGTTTAAGCCACTGACCTGATAATAATTTATTACAGTAGCACAGAAAATCAGTAAAGATTCTGGTGCCAGAAGTAGAGTGCTGCTGTAATATTCAAAACTGTGGGAGTGGCTCTGGAACTGGGCAGTGGGCAGAGGCTAGAAGAATTTTGAGAGGCATGACAGAAAAAGCCTACACTGCCCTGAACACACTTAATAGAAGTATGTATGCTAACAACTGTATTAGCGAGGTGCACGTGAGGAAAACCTAAACTGTCTTAGAGAATACTTACCATGAACAGACTATTAGTAGAAATATGGACATTGAAGTTGTTGCTGGTGAGGGCTCAGAAGGAAGTGAGGAACACATTATTGAAAATTAGAGGAAAAGGGATACTTGCTATATAGTGGCAGAAAGCTTGTTGAAATTGTATCCTGCAGTTATGTGCAAAGTAGAACTTGTAAATGGTGAAACTGGACCTTTGGCTGAAGAAGTTTCCAAGCACAGTGTGGTGTAGACTGGTTTCTTCTTGCTACTTTTATAACTTGTGAGAGGAAAGAGGTAAATTGAGGGGAAAACTGTTAAAACAAAAAAAAAAGAACCAGGTATTGAAGATTTGAGAAATTCTCAGCCTATTTAGATTACAAAAGATGCTAAAATCGAGAGATTCACTGTAAGAAAGCTACTGTAGAGAAAAAGCCAAGCGTGTGGTTGTACAACCTTTTGCTAATACCTGAGGAAGACTGAAAGGTCAGAATACTCAGGCACACAAGCTCTTTGAAGAGAATAAGGGTGTGACTCACGGATCCTCTCAATCAAACCAGAGAGCAACCAGAAAGCTTGGGAGCACTGTCTCTCAGCCATCTTAGCAGAAGCAAAAAACAGAGAAGAAATTATCTAGTAAAGATCTATAGAAAAGCCTCTTGTCTAATGAAGTGAATCCCTGTGACATACAGGGGAGACTCAGAAGGTTTTTGAGAATTTATGTTAGCAGAAACACTACGAGCTTGGACTGAAAGAGAGAGACTATGAAATGAAAGACGGTAGTCTTTCAAAGGTGGTCTCACAAAACACTATGGGCAGAAAACAGGCTTATAAAACTGCTCAACAACAAACAGATGCTCCCTTTCATGATAAAGGAAATATGATGGGGAAGGGCAGCGCCTTGAACCACAAATGACTAATTTCAGGCCTTGATATCTAATGGAGGCTGTCCAGCCGAATATGAAAACTGCTTGGGGACCAAAAACCTATTGCCGTCGAGTTGATTCCAACTTCTAGTGACCCTAGGAGACAAAGTACAACTGCCCCACAGGGTTTCCAAGGGGTAGCTGGTGGATTTGAACCACCGACCTTTTTGGTTAGCAGCTGTAGCGTGCTGTAGCTCTCAACCACTGCGCCACCAGGGCTCCAGGCTTGGGGACCAGTGATTCCTATTTATATTTTCTCCCTTTTGAATCAGAATGTCTATAACTTTTATCCTATGTGTGTCCCACCACTGTGTTTTAGGCGCAGATAACTTAGAATTGTACCCCAGGATGGACCAGATTTGATTTGGATGACTTAGATGATAACATGTAGGACTTCTGAGATGATGAGATTTTGGACTTTAAACTGGTGCTGTAATAGGCTGAGACTTTTACAACAACAACAACAATCGAATCTAATGTAATCTAATCAGAGAGGTCCTTCTCTGCTATTTCACCTTCTAACCAAAACAAACCCACTGCCTCTAAGTTGATTCTGACTCATGATGACCCTACAGGACAGAGCAGAACTGCCCCATAGGGTATCCAGGGCTGTAAATCTTTATGGAAGCAGACTGCCACATCCTTCCCCCCACTGGAGTGGCTGGTGGGTTCGAACTGCTGAGTGCTTAACCACTGTGCCATTAAGACTCCGAGTAGCCAACAATCCTTAGAGTTCCTAGACTGGTGGATTCATCTGCCTCTGTTGTCTTCCCCCTGTGACCAGGCGTGCCTCTGTGTCTAATCTGCTCTTTTTTTAATAACTCAGAAATGATTAGGTTTAACACATACCCTACACTGATACGACCTCATTAACAAAACAAAGAAACTCGATTTCCAAACAGGATTACATCCACAGGTACAGAATTCCAACACACATTCTGGGAGATCACAACTCAATCCGTAACACCCCTAGAGCCTCTAGAAAGGAACATGGTCCTGACGACAACTTGATTTTGGCCGAATGAGACTCATATTGGATTTATGAACTACAGAACTGTAAGGTAGTAAGTATGTGTTGCATTAAGACATTAAGTTTGTGGTGATTTGTTACAGCAGCAATGACAAACTAATACAATCACCCTTTCCAGTTCTGCCTGGAAAACCTTTCCTCTGCCTTTAAAATCCAGCTTCAAAATCACCTCTTCTGTGAGGTATTTCCCTGGGTCTTCAGGATACAAATATTACTTTCTTTATTTTTCCAAATTACTCTATCATACCACTATTTGAACACAACATAATTATTTGAATGATAAGTCAGACTCTCTGCCTTCTAGACTAGAAGTTCTTCAAGGGCACAGACTACATTTTTTTCCCCCTTTTTGTATCCCTAATTGTAGCAAATAATAACCAAAACCAAACTTGTTGCCCTCAAGTCAATTCCAACTCACAGTGACCCTACAGGACAGAGCAGAACTGCCCCACAGGGTTTCCAAGGCTGTAATCTTTATGAAAGCAGATTGCCACCTTTCTTCCGAGGAGCAGCTGGTGGCTTCAAACCACTGACCTTTCAGTTAGCAGCTGAGCACTTAACCACTGCGCCACCGGGGCTCCTTACAGCAAATAATAGGATTCAGTAACTATTTGCTGAATAACGATATAAAGACACTGTGTTCAAGACATTTGTGCTTTGTTGATACCCTATATTCAGACTCACACTTTATACATGATATACAACTGTTTTTTGTCTGTTTATTTTTTAAAAATCTATTAGTGAGCTCCACTGCTTTACATATATAATAAAAACAATGTGGAAAGAATTTTTAGTTTACAGACATGCAATTTGTCTTTAGATATTTAAAAAATGATAGGTGATGAAAAGAAAATAAAGTACGAGATAAGGAGTCTGTTACTCTACCACCTCTTTCAACTTCTCTGGTCTCTTCATCTGTAAAATGAAGCTATTGGACTTGATGATCTCTTTGTAAATTTCCTATAATATCTGATCCAGGAGATATGTGGTATAAAAAGCTTACAAAAGATAAGAAGCAATGCAGTATTTCACTAATAAATAGTTTTTACCTTTTCAGAAACACCTAATAGCATTTCTAAAACCTGAGAGTTCTAAATCTGCCTTGGCATTCATGAATCCTGACATTCTCTATGGCTGGGACAGAAAGCTCACCTTAGTGTTTTGCTATCTCTTTTACACTGAAGGGCTAAAGCCCGGACAAGGTACTGAGGAAACCTACACAAGAGCCATCATTATCCTAGTGGCAAGTTATTAAATTTACACACACACACACACACACACACACACACA